TTAATCTAATAAAGAGATGGATTCTATATAGGACCATGTCTCAGAGGAGAATCTATCAAACTAATACATTTCACAGGTGGTGATACATAAATTATGCTAGAAGCTACAACAGATTTCCAGTCCAGATGTGATTCAAACATTGTAATTAGCAACATGGTGTAAAAGTCATTGGATCAATATTTCCAGTAATTAGGGCTGAGATCTATGTCTATCTGTGTTGGAGTTACTCAAAGAATGTACATACCATCCAAATGGGGCCTTTCCAAGATCTTCAAACTACTCTGTTATGTGAGAATTTCCCAGAGATACTTAAAAGAAATGCCTTTCCCTGAAATTGTGAGGCAACCAACAGGCTAAATAACCACTAGGACAAGTCCAGTTTGGTGAAAAAAATGAGTTTTATTAAGGGGTCACTTAACAAAGCTGTGGATGGCATTCGGTTGGCTACTCTAACGAAATTGCCACCCCCCACCCATTAGGTTGGATTTTATCAGGAAACAGTAAAGGGTGCTTGTGGGGTAAATGAATTTTTCACCCAGAATTTCCTGCTTGTCTTTGTTCCTTTACATACCAATGGATGTTTACCATAGCACAGACTCCAGTGGATCTGGGGCAAGGGTGGAGAGAAAACAGCCATTCTCTCCTCCCTTCTGTTCCTGGTACCTAATTGGTCTGGTGCCTGTCAGTCACTACGGACCCGCCCATGGAGTTCCTGTGGGAAGGGGTGGGCATGGGGAGCAGAGCTGTCTTGCCACAACCAAAGGGACAGCTGGTGAGGAGCCTGGCTAGCCAACCCAAGGAAGCTGTACAAAATAGCCTTTCTCCCAGCCTGCCCTTTCCCTGACTTACTTCCCTGGATTCACAGGGAACTTCTTCTGGGAGGGGAACCCCCTTACTCCAGAGCTACATGCAGGAAAGCATGTTCCTCCCTCTTGAGTTTCAGCAGACTTGGTAAACGTTCTTGCAGTCCTTGGGTCTCATACTAGCATTATGAGGGATGCAGGGTAGTCCCCTCCCTTCCCTCAGAATGCAGCCTGGTAGCTTGTTTTAAAATGGATATTTTTATCTAAATGGCTTTACTTTGGTCAGGTTTTAGAGGATCATCTATTGGGTGTGTATGTGTATATGTACATAGAGTCCCAGTATTCTCAAGCTTTAACTTTAGACAAAGGACTCTTATTGAATCCTATGCCTTGAACACTCAACTTTATCCACTCATGTTTACTCAGGTTCAGAATGAATTACTTGTTATTTTTTAACTTCATCTTTGATAGTAAAGTTTATAACCATAGTGTGTGTATGGGCTTGCGTTTACATGGTTCTTTAAACCTTAATTCATAACAAATTACATTTCAGTACACATATCCATTTAAAGTAATTCAGACATGTGAACTATTATTTCTTGTGATCTGGGCATATTTTTCTGTTCTTATGTAAAGGTTTGATATTTGTTGTTAATACATTATACACATTCTCATAAATTTTATCTAGATATAAGTTAAGCAATATACAATTGTCATACTAAAAGAGTATCTACTTCCAAGGTTCAGGTAAAATCAAATTTCATTATACCAGAATTAAATGAAACTGCTTGGAGATAGATGTTTGCTTTACAATAAATAAAAAGACCTTATCATGTGCACAATTTCCCATATACTTCCTCTTATTACCTAATAGAGTCAGAATACCATCTTAAATAGAACTGATACAAAAATGTTTCTTTTAATTCTTCAACCACAATTTATTTTTAGCTTCAGAAATTTCCATCTATTTTGTCTTTATGCCTACAGAAGTTACTTCCTTTTACATAGCTGCTTTCTTTTATGTTTACATCCTATAATATTTGTTCCTTTAATTTTGTCATGATGAAAGCAAAGGGAAGAAAGCCTTTGTTTAAGTGTATGATTCTCCCAGAATAATGAACTTCCCTTAAGATCTGTTAATACATGACCTGTATAAACAAAATGTCTTGCATTTTTATCTCCAATATATCAGGTAACTCAATGAAGCTACTTCTGGTGTCTATTATTAAAATATAAATATTTCCATAATACAAAATTGGTAAGACATACTTTAGATAGGCTCAAAGTAAGGAAAATTCAGTTGAGGGCATATCTTCTCCATAAATTGAAAGGATAGTTTGGTTAATTTAGTCAATTTCATAAACATAGACTCATTTTTATATTTTAAAAATAAGGCACTATATCTAGTTGCTTTGTATTTAGTCATTTTAACCCAGTAGTTGTCTTGATACTTAACTAGATGTAACAATAGTTAAATGTAAATGCTGGGGACAGCAGTAAAGATCTTTCTCAAATTTGAACTAATATTTTGATGCTGAGATATTTATGATTTAAGCAAAGAAGTTTCAGAAATGTAATGAAAGCATATATATTTCTAATGTTTCTAAAATTTTGTTACAGCTATGATTCTGATAGATACATCTGTGGTGTTTATCCTTTGTCATGGAATTCTTTAGAATAGTACCCGAAAAAGTACCAGGTTATTACAAATTTTGTTTTAAGAATTCAGGCTTCTAAGCTAAAATTGAAAGAAAACAATTGGGTTGAATTAAAGACAGAAAAGGTTGTGTAACACTTTTTTTACTTTTTTATACCACATTTTCTTTGAAATATATATTTTTTAAAGTACCATAGAATTATAAATTAAAATTATAAAATTATAAAATTAAAAATCAGTTCCACAGAATTATATACTTTTAAATATTAAATAAGCATTAACCTATTCAAGTCAAATATATATGTTTTTCTGATTTACACTGCAGAACTAAAAGTACAATCAATATTATCAAGTTATTTTGTCATCTTGATAAATTGTTTTCTATAATATTAATGCTAAATCTATGATATTGGCAGAAACTCAAGTTATGTGCAGATGAAGAAATTATCAATCTTTAAGCAGGAAAATACACCTAACAGTTAGGAGAAACCAATCTTCTTTAGCAAAAATACTTAGTCTACTCAAGACCCCAATGACCACGCATTAAAAGAAAATGAGTAACACAATGCTATCAAGTTTGCCAAAATTCAAGATCCTTGTTACTTTTACATTTGACCCTCTAGTTTAAACTCAAGGATGACACTCAATTTTGAAAGATCTGAGAAGACAGATTCATGGAACAGAGCAAATACACATTTAAATACTCTGCCAATTTAGAAGTGAAAGAAAACTAATTGAAAAGATCCAACACTTTACAATAAAGTTCAGTGTCTTCAATGGAAAGACTGGCAAACTGTTGTGTTAACAACTTGTCTTGTTTCTAAAATTAATTGCCTTCAGCTGTATTAACAATAGAGTATGATCAAGTAACATGAAAGCTTTCAACAGATCAATAATAAAAGCATCCTAATTTATCCTCTGTTCACCACCATCACCATGAGATTAATAAATTTCTAAAGGGCCAATTGAATGAAGTCTTTAGCCTAAAATTGCTGCTAAAATATCATATGAATACAAAGCACAAGACAGCTTTTCAGAGTTGCTAAACCAGTCAGACAAAACTTACAATGACATCAGCAGTAGGGAAAACAGGTATGTGAAAATGCTGACACATTTCTTACGCATCTGCTATAAAATGCTGTGATCCATATAGGAAAAACTACCTTTTGTATATGCTAGACTCCAGGTGTTAGGCTGGAGAAAGGAAAAACAAGGACATGCAAACAGAACAGAGAGATGCCGTAGGGGGAGAACAGACCAGACCCCAAAGTCCGTGCCGTATATGGAAAGGGGACAGCTCTCCCTGAATTCCATCCTGATGTGCCAACTAAGACCCAGATGTCAGCCTCCTCCCTCTTGGAAAGAAAAAAGTTTCTAGTTGACTATTATGTCACCTTTAGCCAATCATACCTCTCCACACCCACTAGGATAGCTTGCCCACTCCTCCCCCTCCTAATCCCTTATAAGCACCCCACCTCCCTAACTGGGTGTGACTTCTCTGGCCTCTGGCAAGAAGGCTACTGAACCTCACCCCGGGGTATTTAAATAAATTACCTGGCCCTTTGTTGCCTCTCTTTGCCTGCTTTTCTGGCTAGAATTTATCTTACATATGGTGCTGAAACGTGGGAGGAGTGTGAGCGCGAGGCCCTGACCGGCCACAGGTGGCCCCACCCCCTCCTTCCCAGACCCGGCACTTCAGCCCCTCAGTTTCCCCAGTCTGCTTCCCTTCCTAACTCCATTTCACCTGGTCTGTCCGAAATCGTAGCTACGTCCAGGTCTGGGCATTCAGCCCATCTGTTGTGAGTATCTGGGATACTTGCCCCTGGCCCTGCAGTGGGGGAGACGTCCCTCACCCAGGCTCCAGGGCTGTCTCCCCTGACTTGGTGCACTTGGGATGCTGGACACTCCTCTCAGCGGGATGTTTTTTGGGAAGTGAGCGCAGACATGAGGAACCAGCCCATGAAAGCAGAGGCTCAGACCCTGCTGCGGTGTCTCATTTCTAATCTGGCTACTCTGTTTGTCCCGGGAAATTAGCAAACAGAAGTTAGTCTTCCTTTGCTCTGAGGCCGGGCCTCAGTATCCCTTGGACAACCAATCTCGCTGGCCCCCTGAGGGAACTTTTGATTTTAGCCTCCTCACCAACTTAAGTAATTATTGCCACCGGAGCAGAAAGTAGAATGAAATCTCACATGTGCAGGCTTTTTGGACTTTGCACTCCTGTCAAAACCTTTATGTTAAGTGTTCTATAACTCAGGTTCTTCTGGCCCGATCTCCAGTTAAAGATTGTCAGCCTCTTACTCTGCTCAGTCCTTCCTTTTCAGATCCACCAGAAACCTCAGTCGCCTGCCTCCCTCAGCTCACAATCCCCTCCCCCTCTCTCCACCACCATCTCTAAGTCCTTTGTCTTCCCACATGGTGCCTCCATCTTAAAGTCCTGCATTCTCAACCATGCCGTTATCCTGCTCTCCTCTTCCAGTGGCTGCACCACCCCCTCCCCCTCTCCTTCCACCTTCACCGCCCTCTTCCCCCACCAGAACATGCCCCTCCCACCCTCTAGTTCCAGAAGCCACAGACAAGAAGCTGAGAAGAGAGACAGCAATTGGCTATCAGTAACTTAAGTCTTCCTATAGGTTTGTCTATCTGTGTATGTTTTTATATGAAAAGTGTTGCTGACTGTAGTCATTGTATCTCAGTTTGTACATTTGTGTGTCTAAGTGTATACATGAAAAAATATTTTATTTAAAAACAAGCGCTTGTGAAGATTGAGCATTCTAGAACTTCCAGAGAATCTAGTAAAAAATGTTAAGCATGAAAGCTAATTTGAGTTTAACTGAGGTGGGCATGTCCTTGTTGTTATCAGCTGCCTAAGTTTACCTAAGGTCATTTAAGTCCATGTTATCTTCTAAATCTTTTAAGAATAAAATGCTTAAAGGCTTCCCTTTGTCTAACACTCAGTTAAAGTTTTGTAAGTAATCTAGCATAGTTGCTAAAAATAAGTAAACATAAACAAGCCTAGCAAATAATTTTTAATAATAATACTGTGTTAATGTATGACAGTATATATATAT